TATTACTGTATAAAAAGGATTGGTTTTTTGTCTTATTGGTTTTTGACTTAATTCTCTTTTTATTAAATACTCTTCTGGTTCTATTCGTAAATTAGAAGGAGAAGATTTTTTTTGTCCTATTTATAAGTTGTAAATTATATTTTTTACATTAAAACAATTTTATCATTTACTTATTATTGTGTGACTATTATTTTCTTGAATATATATATACACACATTAAATATTAGGACAAAGTTAATAAGATTTAGATTATATTTGGATTGAGGGAAAAGTTGGAGAATAGGGGGAAGGAATAGTCTAGCAAGGATAATAAAGAAGTTTAGTATTTTAGGGATTTTTTTTCCTCCTAATATTGTTTCATCCTTAATTTTCTTCCCATTGAAAGTAAGGTTAGGATTTTCTTTATTTTGGTGAAATAGGCTGAAAATTACTTTATAAATAAAACAAGAGAAGTAAGTTAAGTTGTGGTTCGATTTGAATAATAAGCCATCTTTTTCACTGTGACATCGTGGTGGTGTTATTTTGGTGTTTCACATGTGGACAATATTTAGATGATTGGATGAGGATTTTTTATTTTTTTTAATTCAATAAATAAAATAATATTTTCCAGGCCATAAAACTAATTATTATTGTTATCTTTTTCTTAAAAAAATAAATTGATTGTTATAGTTCTGTGTGATCCAAATTTAAATATTTACTAAATTTTTAATATAATTAAATATCATGATTAAAAAAATCGACAAAACTTTATTTAAATATTCAAATTTGACAGAAAATGAAGTTTGATTAAATTATTAAATCTAAAATATTATTGTGAAATACATAAGCCATTCAAAAAAAATTTTGATGTTCAGTCAAAAAAAATTTCATCCAAATTAATTAATAAAATTATTTTGTGGGTTTACAAAACTGTTGTTGGCCACCATATTAAATTTCAAAGTAAATGCGCACATTTTTTTTAAAAAAAGAATAATAAGAGAATTAATCATTTATGGGTATTAGTCATTTGTAGACATAAAAGTTTGACATATAAATATAATTAAGAAAATATTTAATTCTTTATTTGAGATTTTTTCTTTGTAATTCTGCCAATAACACTGATATATTTAATCACGCATTACACCCAAGTATAAATATTTTAATGAAAGTTCAAATAATGCAACATTGATAAGATAATTCATCTCAAATTCAAGTGCTTTGATGCATGCACCTACGGCTATCAATATCTCAATATACTAACTTTAGTCATTAATATAATAGCTAGATGAATAATTAATTTTGGATATTAAAAAATTAGTAAAGTTATAGTAATTTGTAACAAATGTGAAATAATCTTTATAGAGCTAATTAACTTCACAAGACATGTTATATAATGCCATGTGAACTTAATTGAGATGAGAAAAAGGTGTTAGAACATATTATAAGGTTACTGGGTGAAACATCCTTTCTTAAACCCTTTTAATATGCATCTAGAAGCATTATGATTCCAATAGATTATAAAATAAACCTGTAGATTGAAGTTTGGGAGAATTATAATTAAGTCTCATAGAAGGAAAAAAATTACAAAACAAGTCCCAAAGATTGTCATTCTCCACTGTAGGACTTGTCATTACAGACGACTTAGGTTGTTATTGGGACTTTCTAATAATTATTTCTCTTCTGTGAAATTTGATTGTAATTCTTCCTTGAAGTTTTGAAATTTGATTCTTGAGTTACTATTCACTAGTAAATTCTAGATTTTTTTGTCGAACTTTGAAAATTTATAACTAACTATAGAAAAATCGCAGTAAGGTGATCTAAGTCTTATTTGAAGCTCCTTCAATTCTATGAGAAAAAAATATAAATCTAGCATTTGACCTTCTCAATTTATACAATTAATTTGTGAAAGTTTACTATTCATTTGCTAAAAACTGTATTTTTCAGTTTCTCTGCCCTAATTTTGAGCAATTATAACTCTTAGCACACATATTCATTTTAAGTAATCTACCAGTTGTTGTAAAGCTCAAAATGTATACTTTAAGCATGTCAAATTTTATGGGCAGATTCCATCTTTTACCTCACTTATACTCTGTCACAAATTCATGACTCATTTAGGAATAAATCATCTCTCCTTACTTGCGTTAATAATTCATAATTATACATTTCTTGGCATGCAATGATTCCAACATACCCTTAATCATTTCCATGCATCATTAAGTCCATTCACACATGCCAATATCATTATTCGTCATTACATTACATTATAGGCATGTTCATGCATACATTAACATCTACAAGAAATATTACATTACAATACATAAACACATTTCTCCCGTCTCTTCTCTTTTTTCTTTGATCTTCATGAATCCATTCCTCTTCTATAGGCATAATACCTATTATGGTTGGTTAAAGGAGGGTGAGGTTCAGGAGAATCTTAGTAGCAAACATTATCATGATGTATGTAAGATAGATGCAAGTATATGACATGCTCGATTAAACATATTTTCACATTTATAAAATGTCATGCAAATATGCTCAACATTTCAAACACACATGACCATGGATTAAACAAGAAGTACAGTAACATTTAACCATTCATCCTTTCATTAATATCGAACAACATCAATATACAAGCATACACATCAAGTATACAAATAGGTAAGTTCGCTACCTTATGTCTTTAAATTGTCTCTTTGCACTACTACATAAAAGACATTTAATGGCGGTTAAAATGAGCTTTTCATGATGATTTTGAGAGCAATGTTTATGCCATTGACCTAAAATATAGAGGATTTCATGGCAGTTTAACAACCACCGTGGTATATGACCACAGTGAAAAGTTTTTCTTTTTTTTAGCTTATCTTTCATCCTATTGATCAGGATAGAACTAGGGAACAAAGCCGCAAAGGAAGGGGGTTTGAGAATCAATTAACCAATAACCTATTAATAATGGAAAGCATTCTGACAGAGCAAACGTAGATTCTTTCCTTGCCATATAGCACCACTTAACTTCACTTTCAACCACTATATCGAAACCACTAATAAGACTTAATAAAGATAAAATCAAAGACTTAGATCTGATAAAATTCAAGAATTTTAGGCTATCAAACTCTAATCTACAAAATAAGGGAGAGCGCAATCGGGTCTATTCAAGCTTTCAAGTATCAAAGTATGTTTAAGGAAGGAGAGGAACAAAAATCAGATCTATTTAAACTCAAAACAAACATCATATTTTTAATCAAAGAAAACAACCAAACTATGAAAACTATGAAACCCATAGAAAGCATGGAGGAGAAAGGGCAAAAAACTCACAAATAAGAATGAAGAGGATGACGTGACGACGACGACGATAGTAATAGCAATAGCAATGGTGATGGAAGAACATGGCGGAGATAATAGAAGCAAAGGATAAATGCCGGCAAATGTAAGAAGAGGGAGAAAATCGAGTGGGGATGCTAACGGGGGACCATGAACTCTAACTGTGAAAAATGAAAACTATTGCGCGATGGGTAGAGGCTTAAAATTCTGTTAGATTTTTTAAGGCGGTTTTTTAAAAAACCAAAAAAAAAACTACCGTAAAAAAGATTTTCAGTGTTTTTTTTTTTAAAAACCGCCGTCAAAAGAACTTTTCACATTGGTTTTCTTGATAACCGCCTTGAAAAGTAAAATTTACTTTCCTATAATTATAAAAATGCCACTATCATTTTTTTACAGTGTTTTTTCTAATGACTACCGTAAATTAGTATTATGAAAGCTCTTTTTTGTAGTAGTGTTGCTTCCTCTTGCTCTCTTTGCTTCCGATCATCAAGATTGTTTGATCAACCTTCCAATTTCTCCCTAGCAAGATACACTACTCTTTGTTTTCCCAGTTAACTATGTAAATTAAAGTCACACTTCTTCAAAAAGTTGAGCCACTACTATTGAATTATGCGAAGCATCAAATCCTAACCCAAGAAACACTTGTGTAACAAGAACAGGCATGAGTAATTAGTAATGTTCAACTAGGTAAAGAGAGTTATATGATACTCTTCTTCAATCTTCTTTTTTACATAATTGATTAACTAGGTAAAGTCAAAGTCACTCTTCGTCAATTGACTTGAGCTTGTATTATATTCGGATACTCTTCATTATTCACACACACACACACACACACACACACAACTTTAATTTTTGTTCTTTTCTACGACTCACCCTTGTAAAGAGAGTAGATAGTCGTCACCCTTGTTCTCTACATCATCGGAGAGAGGAATTTAGCACGCTAGGCTAGGGTTTTTCAAATAATACATATAGATTTGATTTGTGTTTGATTAGAGGCAAGCTCTATTATATATAATGTCTAATCAAAAGAATTATGCGCCAGGAATCCATAGGAAAAACTCTTACCTTATGTTTGGTATGAGAGGATTTGAAAGGAGGAGAGAGGAGAAAAAATTTTAATGAGCTTAATTTAAAAAATTGCATAAATTGAGTTATACAATTAACTATCAACTAACTATATTCTTGAAAACTTGTCCAGTTGTTTAAAAACTAGTCAGGTGTGACACTATGACATCTGAATAGATTCAATTAATCATATTTGAATAATATTTTGATTGAGATTTGGGTATATTAAATTAAATGAGGAGTATCATTACTAAATGAAATTTCAGTTGAAGGCTCAAATAAAGAAATTAATAATTTATTTTGAATTTGAATAATATCTTAATTAGAATTTAAATATATTTAATTAAATGAAATGTATCATAATTAAATAGTACATCAATTGAGGGCTTAAATGGAGAAATAATTAATTAATTTTAAGTTTTCATATGTTCCTCCTAATTTCTGAATCTCTAATTCAAATCTCATTTGAATGAATAAAAAAAAAATCACACTTCTATAAGAAGTGAATCTCGAGGGCTTAAATGGAGAAATAATTAATTAATTTTAAGTTTTCATATGTTCCTCCTAATTTCTGAATCTCTAATTCGAATCTCATTTGAATGAATAAAAAAAAATCACACTTCTATAAGAAGTGAATCTTGAGATACCTTAGATAATACAATTTATTGGAATTTAAAATTTAACCAAATTTAATCAAATTTCTAGTTTTGATAAAGAAAAGATGTAAGTAATCCGTAATCTTTTGCGAGGCGTCGGTTATCTTACATTTCTTTCATTGTAACTAATCAACCGAAGGCCTTGGCACATTAATAAATTTTCTAACGTTTACAATACCTTTTGTCTCTTTGCTTATGTATTCTTGTCTTCTCCTCATCCCTTATCTTCATCAGAAGCTTGCAGAGATGGCACCATGTTGGCTTGAGGCAGTACATGTCCCATTAATGCAGGCAAGGTACGTACGTAGATGATAAGCTCCTGGTCTTTAATTGTGTTAATTGATTAGTCTGTTTCAGATCAATTGTACTGGTAAAAGGAGGGGGGGGGAAGGAAGACGGCCCTGCAAATATATAAATAAATACACACATATACTTCTTGTAAAGATGATTGGGATAAAATACAATAGGAAATAAGCCCAAATCAAATTTGGTGTGAGCATAGTGCTTAAGAGACTCTCGTCCCTTAAGCAACTAGTTAGAGGTTTGAATCTGAAATCTTATATAAATAGAACAAACATAGTTAGAATGAAAAGGATATTCCTGTTGGTTCTACAAAAAAACATTTATGAAATTTGCATTATATCCCTCTTGTGTAAAATATGAGTATTAATTAAACAACTAAATCACACAATTTAAAAAAGTTAAAATTAGTTCAAGACAATAAATATGTAAAATATGTAATTTATTTTCCTAAAATACCTTTATCTATGGAGAGGGCAAGTGGGAAAGAGAAAGACTGAAAAAAGATATGAGAGAGAATAAGCAAATAAAAGAGATGAAAAAGATATATATATAATTAATTAATTAAGGGTAAAAATGAAAAAAAAAAATGCATCAAATGATGATACAAATCCAAATTGTATCTTATGAAAAAACAAACCACACTCTTTTAAAGATTTGATCCTTATATTTTGAACCAAAGTAAATTCTCATCATTCCCAGTTTTGAAATGACGCAACTCATTTCTTAAACTTGATGTAATAATATAGGGAAAAACATGTATCTGATTTGAACTTAAATCCCAACAATGTCTCTAAGAAGAAGGCCAATTTATGTGGTTGCTTGAATTTCATCTTTGAGAAATCATATATGAGCTCACCAGCTCTCTGACAAGTCTAAACAAAACAATTATATATATAGGGTCGTATATATTAGTTTAAGCAAGATGCAAACTAATGGACTATGGAAGTATATTTGTTTGACAAAAAAGACAAGTATTATTTGAAGCTCTTTTTCCTTTTAAAACCCTACCTGACTTTGAAGTTGTTTCCTGCTTCACTGTGGATGAACATCACTTTAAAAGATTATATCTAACCATCAATTTGGTCGAAATCCAAATTAAAACCTAAAGGACAAAAATTAATAATAATATTCAAAAGTCTTTATGTACCAATTAATGAGTCAGCTAATAATTAATGATGATGTTTAATAGAATAGCAAATATTGGATACTTGTTGTGGTCCTTATTATAAACACCTACTAAAAACTTTGCATGTATTAATAAAGTTGAAATTAGTAATTTCTCTAAAATATTAAAATTTTCTTCAATAGAAGTCAATATAGTCAGAAGAGTTTGGTTAGTTAGGAAGTTATATAATTAGTTAGTAGTATGTCTACTGATTTTCAAGCAATAACTATATAACGCCAATGCCAAACTCCTAGAACAACTCTAAAAATTAATAAGTTGGTTGACCATATTTGCCTAAAACACATATAACACACAATATATTGAAAAAATAAATTTTATTTTTTGTCACTATGACAGATATATAATTGCGGTTTTAACTTTGTTCTCCGCAGAATTTTCTTAAAATAATCTAGTGGTCATCATTCTAAAAGTGTTTTTTAGTATTATGACCCAAAGTTTTTTTTTTCCTCCGAAAAATAACAAAATATACTGAACCTGAGTTCTTATGAAATATACGTTGAAATGACGGATGAAGAGATAAATTATTAGAAAATAAACTAATTAATCTTTAGAAAAATAGAATTACATACAGAGGATTAAAATAATGCTTTATTTTTCCAATCAAAATGCATGCAAGCTGGCCTAAACCCAAAATTAAGGGCAAAAGTAAGAACAAAAGCAGAAAGAACTGGCTTTGATTTAGGCTATTGTTTTTGTGTGCGTGTGCGTGTGTGTGTGAGAGAGAGAGAGAGGATATTGAATTATTGGACCACATCAACATGTGTATACTATAAACGTTGCTTCTTTATGTTTCAGAATTCAGATTCATCATTCATGTGACTCACAATAAATGTTCCCAAAAGAAGCAAAATAAACGTATTCTGCCCGTTTCATAATATTTAGGAGTATCTTTTTAGGAGGAAAAAATTGTTTCCTATTATAGTATAGGTCCTTTATATATATTCTCAATTTCAAAGCAACATCTAATATTATTTTTTTTATTTCACCCTTAAAGTAAAATTAAATATCCTTCGAGGCTTGATAAATTATACAGTTAGAAATATATTTGAGGGGTAAATTATGTAAAGTATATCATATTTGTACATATTTATTAATTTGTGTGCAATATGCAAAATGATGATAAGTACTCTTCTGTTGTAAAAAAAAAAAAAAAAAGGATAAGTACTTATCTGGTTCTCATCATTAGTCACTTCCAACATATTTTACCGAAATTAAGAAAAACTTTAAATTTTATTAATTTATTTTAAAATTTAATAACTTTTCGAATTTATCTTTATTTAATAACAAATAAACATTTCAAGAAAATAACAATTTACACAATGACAGATGGAGGGTAAAATCATTAAAAAAACAAATGAAGATTAAACTGTGTATTCAAGTGAAAAAATTAATGATATAACTTATAAATATAATAAAAGAACAAATCTTATTTCAATGCTTTATGAATAAGATTGGAAGAGTACAATGAAAGGAAGGGAGTGGATGAAATGGAAACAAGTCAGTATTTATTGCCCTCAAAAACATTAAATAATATTAATAAATAAGAAATTACTGTATTATTTTTTCCAAGACAGAAACACTTCCAAATTCACCTAACACGTGCACATGTACAGACAAATCGGTTTGCAGCCCTGGAATCTTCAATATAACAACTGCCCTCTAACTTTGTCTTACACACACACATACACACACATTTTCAAATTTCCATCGTTAATTATATATTCCAATCTCTCTCTATACATCTATAAAAATCTCAATCTCTTGATTAATTTGTTAAAGTCATCCAAAGGTAACAAATTAAATTAAATTAAAATTGACCTTTCCAACATATAAATGTGAGTAAGATTGTTATTGATTGGCCAAAAAAAGAAGTAAATTTGTTATTATATTGCCCACATGGATATCTAATATATAAAAAATATTAAGGAAGGAGAAGAATAAAATATGAAAGTGTGAAAGATTAATATATACCTGAAATAATTAATGGATTCAGGGCTTGAGAACAATCCCAGAGAACTCAGAAAGTTGAGAAATGGATCTGTCGGTATTTGAGTGATTGAAGCTGCAAGATGACCTGATAGAACCTCATCGGTCTCAATAATTACCAGCTGGTTTGATTTGTTCTTTAGAGGTTTTATTAGGATTTAATTCATTCTAATTAATTCTGTGAAATTAGCTTGCCTCTCAATGGAGATCACTTCAAAGGGCCAAAAAACAAAAAAGTCATTCGGTTTGTGGTTATGGAGAAAGAAGATGTGGATGTAGTATTTTTCCTGAATTATTTTAATTAAAGATTAGAGATATATCACCAGAACTATTTCTTAGTTTAATTTATTTCGTTAAGTTTCTTTAATTATCTTTTCTTCTTCATAATAACAAATGACTTATTAAAATCCTTCCAAATATTTTGAATTACTGTGTCCTCCTCTTCTTGAAGTTATACCCTTCCCAGTAATCTCAATGAAAAATATAATTTCAGTGAATCTAAAATCGATTAATTAACCCTCAAAATTCCCCCTCTCCCCCCTTCTCAAAGAAAAAAGAAAAGAACCAAATCTAGGTTATTAACGAGATCTATACATAACCCTTTTCGTTATACAACAAGAATTGCTCATTTATTCTCAGAAATCAATGGCCAAATTAATCTCTAGACTGAATCAAGACTAATACAAACTCTAAAATCCACCAGTGGAACGAATCTTCACTATATATATACTGATTGATGTATGTAGACAAGAGGTATGTTCTATATATATAAATATAGAAGTAGTGTGGTTGGTTAATTACCAGATCATGCTGGCAGCTTCAAGCTCTCAGACCAACAACTTGAGAATTGAGAGAAGAATATCACCATATTCATCAGCAAGACGAAGAATTCTAAGTTTCGGGGAGATTGAGGAAATGAAATCTAGGGCGAAACACAGACACAGAGGTGAGGGATGATGAGAGAGAAGGAAGAAACATGGAAATTGAACAAAAGGGCCTCTCGTAATTATCTCTGATCTGTTTCCTCTGGGCGATGATGATGGATCCATAAGAAGGCTTTTTATTTTGTGACACTGTGCCATAGAGAGAGAGAGAGAGTTGGTATTTAATGGAGGGTTTTGGTCCTTCCCTTCCCTTACAGCTATCTTGACACTGACTCCTTCTCTCTCTCCCACATTCTCTCTCTCATACATATACCCAAATACAAACACCTACACACAAGCACAGATTGGAATCCGTAGGTTTTAACATTGTTAAATTTATTATCCTTGTTACGTAAGCTGCTTAATTAATTTGGATACGTACGTTAAGGAAATTTGATAAATTATACCATCAAGGGTTGATACAATTTTTTCTTCCTCAAATTTTAAATTCATGATTTTAGCTCCTGGGATTTAGAAGTTCTTAAAATGTTAGTTCTATAGCGGTGTCAAAATTATATTAACCCATTATTTAATTATAACAAACATGACTTGATCTTCCTAAAATACTCTTATATAACATTATATAACATTAGATTATATATCGGTTTATAAGTTAAGTAAATTAATTTGAAGAAAAATTATACATGTTAGAAATAAAATGAAGAGAGGCTTTATATCTAGAATCAATTGCCAACTTCTTTACTAGCTTATAAAATCAAGACTGAAGTATAGCATGGACAGTAACAAAATAAAATGGTTTGAACTCTGCAGATGATATACATATACTCATCCGGTCTTTAATATAAAACATAATCAACTAATTTGAGTAGATGGAGGATGTTAGTTAAATTGGTTAATATGATATGTTTTTTCTCTCTAAAATATCCTAACCATTTTTCATAATTCCCTTCCTTCCTTTCTTACGCGATTATTGTTGAGGGAATATTAATAAGGTTAATTCAGAAAAAAATTGATAAATATGTAAAATATGTCTTATATATAAAACCAACGACAACTCTCAAATTAGGTCCTACATTAAAGACTACAGGAGTATATATTAATATAAAGTTAATGTAATTTAAAGTTTTTTTTAGTTCATGTAAAACATTTGAAATGCCTGATAAACAGGAATATATGAGTAAAAGTTATGGGGAAAATGTTGCCTAAATGACCTCCATAATCTTTATTAGATAATTTTGAAGAAACGAGAGTGTCAAAGAAAGTAATAAATGATAGGATAACTATAGTTAATGAAATGACTTTGACAAAAAATGTTAAAAAGATTTTTAAAAAATTCCCTCCAGTTTTAAATAATGTGAGACCTAGTTAAGAGGGTTTGCTTTAGTCCTAGCTTTTAATCCACTATATCTCCCAAACTTGTATTTTTTTCCCCCAACAATTCTTATTTTTTTCCTCATATAAAAGGGTTTTAAATCAATAAAAGGAGTTTGTAATACAAATGATTAAGAATGATATTTTAGAAAAACATAGACTCATTTTTTTACATATTTGGCTTAAATAAATTTCTTAATTTTTATAAATAATTATTTAACTCTTTTTTTTTTTGGCCAACTATTTAACTCTTATATAGGATTAGATGAAGTATAAACTTTTAAGAATATATTAACATAATAATGAAAGTTTACTGCAGAATATACTATTAAATTTGCAAAATCATTGAAACAATATCTTTAGATTAAAATAATTCTTTACCACATGGCGCTGTTGAGTAAGAACCACAATATGTCTTTCTTTTTGTCACAAAAATAACAGCTGTGTCCATTGAGTTGATTATTTGAGCAACAAAAAAAAAAAAGACTTGATTATTCGTCTAGTTTAACAACTTCTAAACATAAACAATTCAAACACAATTAAAAATAGAGCGTCAATTATTATTAAAAAAAAAAAATAGAGCGTCAACACTCAACTATAGAAAATTTAAATGGATTATCAATTAATAGTTATTGAACATGGCAAGTCAAAATGTTTTTTTTTTTCAATAATTACTTTATAGTAGCTAACAATTACTATAAATTATAAACCCTGGGCCCACCAAAATAAAAACACAAAATTTATTGCCTCTCATTTGGTACAACTGTCATATGCATAATGTCTACTAAAAATTTAAAACATAGAGGCAAGACATGGTCCTCATCAACCATAGAAGCGTCACTGTTCACTAAAAAGCTTCACACACACTTTTGGCTTTTTCTTATATTACACCTATTTGATTTAATTTAATCTTACCCCAAACATCTATTAAAGAACATGTCCCCATGTGATTTGAGACTACTCAGCCCTTTATACAGCCAATTAATTTAATTATCTCCTAGTAATCAATATTCAAACATTATTAAGAAAAGAACTGGTTATACTAATTCAAGTTTTGGTGCAAGCATTGTAAGCTCTCATCATTTAAGTAAGTAGTTGAAAATTCAAATCCTAACACTTACGCATGCACATAACAACCTACTGTTCTAGTTCTATTTATAAGACATTTTTATTATATTTCACTGGAACAAAAAAACTTGAAATCTCACTAGTCTAAAAATTAGTAACTTTTCAACTTTACCCCTATTTAATATATGTTCTTTACTTTAATTGCTTGTTCTCATGAATAATAAATGAATAGTACAATTGTATATTTATGTGAAATCCAGAGGAGTAAGGAGGAGGGATTTACTTTTTTCTCTTAGCATATAGCTTGTGAAAAACTAGTTTCTGCTGTCTTAAAACCTAGTTACAACACATTCAAATCTTAAAAATGGAGAATCACTAATGAAAATTTTTACACTCATGAGTCTAACTTGACTCAAATTGAATTAGTTAGACCTAGTGATATGATTAAAAATAGTGACTGAACAGAGCGTGTGTGCGTGCATATAACAACACCAAATAATGACTATATGTATATAACTAAAAAAGAAGAACAAAGGGAGAAAACAAAGGAAGGAAAGTAGGGCAAGCAGGTTGGTGAGAAATCAGGTGTGTCCTGCAAATTTTGTCTTAAGCTTTGGAGCATTTATTTGACAAACAATGACATATGCAGTCACACATCTAAATGAATGGAAGAAAAAGGACCACACAAATATATACATATATATATATATATATATAATATGCACCTTTATTATTTATTAGAGGGTTCATCATGTGTGTGTAGGCTACTAGTGGATAAGAATCACATGGCTTTGCTTTTGTAATTCAGCTCAATAATCTCTCTTGAATCTTCCACTGATTAAGGTCCCTTTGTGTAATGTGGTGGTTGCGAATATAACCCTTGTTTAAATGTTGTTCCCTCACCTTTATTACCAAACACATTAATTAATTATATAATACTACCTCCGGTCTTAATTATAAGACTTTGTTTATAGACTATAAATGATGTTTTATAATTAGAACCAAAGGTAGTACCTCATGTCCTTAATTACTATAAGAACTAGATAACTAACTTGGAGAGATTAAGAAAATTGATTAAATTGGTTAATTGTAACAAATGTGTGTGTGTGTGTTTTTTTTTAAATTATCCTATTTAATCATGTGCATTGATATTATTCTTTGGCAATAACCCTTACAATTAATAGGGATATTTTAGAGAAAACATTATAGATTTGTGTGACAAAGTTGCTTGAGGTCTTATATTTATGACCAAATACAACCTTCTAATCAACTCTTATATTAAGGACTGATGGTAGTATATATAGGGTTAATTGTAGTTTTCAATCACCATTTGTTATGGTTATATGAATTAAATGACTGCATCTATGATAATATATTCATAAAAAAGATAGAAACATAGTTTTTTAAACATATATATGATTGAAAAAAAATAAAATCTGATTCAGTAGGGCTTCTCTTTTTTTTATTTTCCATGTCCCTGGTCCCACTTTGAGCCTCTGATTATATATATATACTCCCTTATGATAAGATTTTTCTGATGCCTATTGCTTTTCCCCTCAATATGGATCATCTCCCGGATTAGGGTAAAGATACATAAAAACCCTAGTTTAGCCACCCCTCCCCCCAACAAATTACCAAACTCATTAGGGTTTCTTGGTTTTGAATCCTCTACTCATTTTCCCCCCTTTTCCCTTCTCCTCATTTTCATCCTCACCCTTAAATTATATTTAATATTTTATAAAACCATTTTTCTATTTTTATATACTCTACCGTTGTAAACTGTCTAGATGAAGTTTAAACTATTATTTTTTATTTAATAATATAATGTAATTCTGTAATATATTAAATTCCAGCTGTTCAATTTTTAATTTAGAGATGGGGATGAGATGAGGAGAAGATCAAAAAAGGACAGGAAGGATGAGGAGATGATCCAGATCCAAGGTTCCCCTGTAGCTTGTTTTCATAGTTAATTGGAAAAAAAAAAAACCGCAAACACACATAAATATATAATTGTTTGATTTTATATAATGAGCATCCTTTTTTTGCCTTAACTTTCTACTAGCATTTCTCTGAATTAATGTTGAAAAGTATTCAGTTTATTGCAGATACTTCCCTT